GCTAATGCATATTTCCATCTCGCAGGCCCTAATATATGATTTATTACACGTTGAAATGTTGCTGGTCCATTTGTAATTCCTTGAGGTAATACAGTAAATTGATAATGGTTGTCACGAGTTGAAAATGCAGTTTTAGGTCGGTCCTCTTTAGATAGAGGTACCTGGAAATAACCAGATTTAAAATCAAATTTTGTGTAATACATTGCATCGGATAATTGATCAAAAATTTCATCAATACGGGGTAATGGAAATGCATCTTTAATTGTAATAGTATTTAATCGTCGATAATCAATGCAAAATCGCATTGTTTTGTCTTTTTTCTTAACAAGAACAATAGGTGATGACCATGGAGAAGTTGATTCTTCAATTTGACCACGTTCTAATAATTTTTGTGTTTCTTGCAATTTAATATCTTGATCTTTTAAAGAAGACGAATATTGTTTTGAGTAAATAGGTGGATGATCACCTGTCTTGATTGCTGATTGTGGTGGAATGTTAATAATGGATGGTGTAGGATCGAATAGAATTTTATTATGCCATAATATATCTTCAATTTTCGAACGGTTTTTTTCATTTCCTATATGTTTTGTTAAATCGAATATTTTTTGACGAATTTCATCAGAGTAGCATTTTGCTCGTAAATGTTTTTGTAAATCATTACCAGATAGAAAATATTCATTGCAATTATCACAAATAATATCTAATTTGTCTTCTTCCGAGTTGTCATTTTTATTTGTGACAGCTCTATATTTTAATTTGCTTGAATTACTGGATGTTGATTGATTATATTTATTGAAAGATGAATTTTGTTTTGTTGGATTTGATGTACTAAAACATATTGTGTAAGTTGAGGGACGAGAAAGAGTTCCGATTCGTGTATTTCTTGGTAATATTGTTTGTTGATTCTGAGCATTGATTAGTAATATTTTAGCTTTATGATTGTTGATATTTAATAATGTATGTGGTATAAAAATAAATTTTGAGGCATAGTTTGAATATGGTTCAAATATCAGATTATTATCATTGTTAATTTCACATGAAATATCAACTAATAGTTGTGAGTATGGTGGCAGAGTAATTTGATCAATTAATAATGCTGGATAGTTAATAGATGTAGGTGCTACGTATGAAATCGATATTAATTGATCATGTTGATCAGGAATAGTCAATTGTTGTTGATCACCAAATAGATGAACATAATTTGAATTAATCCAGTCATTACCTAATAATACGGATGTAATTAAATTTGTTGCCACATGAGCAATGACGTATGTTGTTGT